TACCGGGTTCTTTTTATTACATTTTTACACATAAGACATAGGATTTATATGTGTGTGCTGTGAGTGTGACACCGTGTTTACATATATATATATATATATACATATTACTGGACTAGCATCAGTATAGCCTTCTGTACATGATTTTCTTTCTCTGTCTATAGACGGTGTGTACACCGTCGCGTGTGTATCTCTGTCACCTATGCGCCGATGGGAAGACGAAACGACGTACGGAAAGGAGGACCAGAACGACACGAAAAGAAAAGATTTTTTTTATGCGATTATTCGAATTTATATTTAAGATACCACGTGCGCTTTGGTGAGGTCGTTTACCGGTGTCGTTATGAGCTAAGTAGACACGTGACGACTACGACGACGGCATTCAATTCCGTGCAGTGCCAAAGGGTGTCTATCTTTTCTTTACACATCGAGAAACGAACACGCGTCTTTCTATTTAAAACTATATAATGCGCGTATTCGTTTAGAAGACGACATCATTTAAATATTATTATTGTGTCTATTGTAAACGTATTGTATTATAGGTGTAAAGAATTTTCAAAGTGGCCTATTGTTACTGCTTTTCAGAATCCCTTGTCTGTGAACTACACTCGGCTGATAAGCCATCTCGTTAAACCAATATTTACATAATCTTAGACCTCGCTATATGCGACATTAATATGAACTGTAGTAGGTCGTATGTTGGCGATAAAAATATTTTAAAACGAAAGTGAATACTAAAACTATAATTTACATTTCGCAATTACATGCCAAAAATCTTATAATATGGTTTGACAGTAAACAGTCGAAAAAAATATATATTTGAAAACAACATTTTTTCACTACATGAATAATGTATACAAATTCTAAACCAAATTCCGATTCTTGGCATATTTTATGATTACTCTCTCGCATTAAACGAATTATATATTATTATTTACTACCTACACGGATATTAAATGATGAGTTACACATAATTATTTGTTAACGGCTTTGTTTATTATCGTTCTTGTCTGTTATAATCCAATTGTAGGGAAATTAATTACGTACAATAAACTTAAAATTGAACCCCCTCCAAGTATAATATTATTTTCAGTAAAAAAATCCGTTTGAGGATATAATATTATATGCATACGATTATATAGAGATATATACAGCTAGATATTTTTTTTGGTGGAGGAAGGACCCAAATATGTATATTATACTTTAAGACAATACAAAATTTACGTTATGACATCTAGTTAATGTATGATGAAAACAAAATGTAATACAGCCATTTATGATTAATAAATATAGTGTTGAGCATTATTTTAAAATATTGAAAACATGTTTGGATTTAGAGGTGGAGGCCTTAAATAGGTCATATACATTATTATTTATTACAAATTAAAGGTTTTAAATATCGTTGCTATCTTAACTATCTTACCCGGCTCTTTGAAAGCCGAAAATATTAAAATAGAATTTCGACAATTGGTGCAGTGTACGACAAATATTCAATTAACTTGTTCACGACATTTGAATGACATCCAAACATTATGTCTTGCATTGCGCCACGTAGTTTTAGAAGAACACGCTGTTTATTTTACGTCAAAAACACATTTTACGAAAATATGCTACAAAGATTTTTTTCACCGGAAGCAAAGACCTAGGATGACATACTGCTATTCTATATTTCTATCTGGTATAAATCATGTACGACTAAAAATACGCTGACCGATCTATGGTCGTTATGTGTACAATAGCGATGATATGTTTACGTCTTATACCAAATGACCTCATTTTTTAATTATTATATACTTAATATATTATCTACACATAGGGATCTTGGATTTTTAGAATAAATTGATTAACCGTTTAAGGCAGTACACATACACATAAATAATATAACTATACCTACACTATGGTATAACACCTATCACCTATGTATAAATGATTCTTATGTATATAATTTCTAAAACTTAAATACTTTTTGGGATACTGAGAGTTTACTGTAATAAAAAAATCATCCTGTATGCTTGAGAGTCTTAAACAGAAACGTATTATGAGTTTTGACACTCTTGGTATAAAGCTTAGATGGCAACCCTATAATTCAAATTCTTAAAAAAATGAATTTTTGGCAGTTATTTGGATACATTAAGATTGAAAGAACTTGAAAACACTCGACATTTATATATATTATACATGTAAAGTTTAAAGTTTCTTCTTCGTACAATAATTGTCAAACTTAGTAACTTTTAGAAATGTTTCTATATTTTATGGTAGATTTGCTGGAAACTGTTCGACTTTTTCATTATTCTTTTGCTCAGAATTTTAATATGTTATTGTTTTTATAGTATTTTTATAGAATGTATTAGGTAACTATAAAGTTTAAAGCAGTGCAAACAACAATCTATAACTATGATTAATAAATCGCATTAACACAACAAAACTGAAAATAAGATTTAAGAATAATTCACTCAGTTAGGTCTTAGGTAGGTATAAAAAAAGGTAGGTAGGTACATAGATATAAAAATTTAATTTAAGAACAAAAGTTAAATTTTTAAAATGATTAAAACTAAAATAATTATTTAATAACTAGTAATAAATTACGTTCATAAATTTAAATATATAACTTTGTTTTTAGAGCACTATAGCAGTAGCAGCTGCTGTACAGTATAACTAACACGAGTTAGCTATAATTACTTATCATAGATTATATAAAATGATTTTGTATTTTTCGTGACCTTATCATTCATATTTTAAGCATGATAACGAAAGTTAAATTACATTTTATGGATAAAATAATCTTGATTTTTACTCAAAATTGTGATATGATAAAAATCATGCACATACATATATGACCCTTGCAGATTGACGAATGAGTAATGACAAAGGTATCTCGTAGTTGTGGATTAGGGACAGTTATGACGATGCCGCTAAATTGATAAATCTTTTAAAAAATTGCAACCTCACCCCCTCGTCTAAGGCCTAAGAAAGTAAGAACGACTTTGCTCACGAAATTTTAAGATTTTAATACTTAATATTATGGTAGTCGAAACTTTAGATAACGGTTTTCAATAAAATAATGTCTGATGAAATTAACTTTCGTCAGATCTCGGATTTGTTCCAAGTGTAAAGTGATATCACTACCGTTAAAGTAGTACATAATATTATAATGTTTGATATTTTTAACGTATAAGTGACCGATAGAAATATTTGTATTCGACGCGTATAATGTATAGCTATAGTTATTTTTAACGCGTCGTTACTTCGCGTTTAAGCGTTTCGGTATTGAAAATGTCGCTTTCGAGGCATACACTGCACTTGCGCCTTGTTACCATATTCTCCTCAAAAGTAATCAGAAACCGGAAGCAAACATCACGTGGTGAGGTTCCATCAGCCCCAAAAACAACGCATCTTGTCAGTGTTATTTTATCATCGTTTTATAAATATACATACGCGTATAGATGTGTGCAATAGTGTGCTTACATACGTTATGCTCGACGTTTTCATGTTTCACTCCAAAATAATTAAAAATTGAGTTGGAATTATCGAGATAAAAATTTATTTTAAGTGTATTTTAAGAAATTACCGATTTACCGATTAATGATTTTTAACAAAAATCTACTCAATTTAAACATGTCAAGTTTGAAACATAAATTAAAAATTAGGCAAAGCTAATCGGACCGTAAAAAATATAATTAGCGTGGAGAGTCTTTTGAAGTATGGTAATTTTGAACTTTATGTATACAAATATTTTTTCTTATAAGCAAATAATTAGTTTTTGAACAAATCTAATTATTAAAATGTTTGTTGGATTTGAAATAAATATTTTACGTATACAAATATAATCCTAATCATATACATCCTAACCTGCTTAGTGAATAAATAGGTACGCGGCGTTATTCCATAATGTTATTATTGAAGATTATTTTACTACTAAGACGAAAAATCAAATGAAAAATACTATATTCTTTTATAAAACATGTACACTACAAGTTATTATCATTGCTGCTGTTCATAAAAATCGAAAATTACACCAAGTTTCCAATTTTATACACTTTAACACTATACTTCATGTTTAATTAATGTATTGAATATTTATCAGTTATCAGTCACTCCTCACTCATCATGTAATATAGGAGGTATGTACCTAATGTAAGTTTATGGAAATAAACAAAAGTCTATACATTTAAAACTATAAATTATAAGAGTAAAAAAATGTGTTTAGTTTGAAAATGATAGAATATTTGCTTATACATAAATTATACAAAGTAAGAACCGACCATACCCAATAGGTTGCACGTGTATCATATAACATTATTATAAGCATTGATGTTACGCATGTGATTTATCACATTTACGGTTGACTTCTGAAAAGAAAGATTGATTAAAACCAAATTGACCTTTAATGCTGAATATTTATTAATTTTCATGAAGATGATCATATTATGATATAATATTTTAACAAAAGAATGAAATGCCATTATTTTGCTTTAAAATTGATGAATTGCATTGAAAAATACCCACATAGACAAAACACGAAACACGAAACACGAAACATTTAAGTTTTTAGATATACATTGATAGTATTCTGATGATAGTGTGGCGTGTATGTATAGAACTCTAGATTTCAGCGAATGTAATGTTTTAATTATTATTCTATTTAATTTATTTTATATTTATATTACCTAGTCGTTTCATGTAAAAAATTATACTTGTAAAGTTGAACGTGTTAATATATTATTTAATTTTATAATATTCTACAATTGAATTTTGTAATCTAACCCATCTAGTGTTATATAGTATCTGTGATACAGTAAATCCGTATACAATTATTAAAATATTCAAAAGTTAAATGAAAAATTAATTCATCACTTTAATCCTATATTATAGAAATGAAAACAATTTATAATCACATTTAATCAAGTTCGCGAATCACGGCTATGCTTAAAGTTTAAGTCCTAATCACCCCAACTGAACGCCGTCCAGGCTGAAACTGATTATCTAAACTTTTGACGACTTACCATGAGGGGCGTATATGTTCAGGTACAGACAGTCCTCGCTCTGGTTGCCCAGGTATGACGTCAGCCGCTTCAGGTAGTTCTGCCGGACAGCCGACAGCCGCTTGTTGGCCACAAGAAGATCGGGCGGCCGCTGCGGGCACACCGGTTTCAGATACTCGGCCCGTAGCGGCCGGCAGTGGCTCCTGTCGAATGACCCATCGTCCGCCTTCGGGCACCACGTAGGTGACTCGCCAGGTGGCATGAACCTCTCTTGGGACGCGGCGTACGGCACGCCCAAGTACACTTCGACCCTGTCCAGCCGCTGCTCGGCCCCTCCACCGACAGTGGTGATGAGGCCTTTGAGCGGTCCTTGCCGGTCTAACCACACCGTCTCGGTGTAGCCGAGCACTTCAGGACGGACGCCCCCAGCCACCATCACCACGACCGCGGCCGCGGTCACCAAGACCAGGGCCAGCGTCGCCGTACCGCCGCCGCCCATGACGGCCGCCGCCGCATCGAACCCGATGGCTGAGCGATGAACCACAACCGCCGTTCTGTATATCCGCCCCGATATGTATTACGCGGCTGTCGCGCGGGTCTTTCGCACACGCACACGCATTATGATAATATTATAATATTATACGGTCGCGAACACAGCACACGCACACGGACACTAGCGCACGTGTTTAAGCGTAGTCACACACTGACACGCGCGCGGCCGCGGCGTACACACGGCCGCTGAGCTATTTAAAATATGTTCCACCCGCCGGCTGCGGCCGCCGCGTTCGGGCGCTCGCGGGCCTGCCAACGTAAATACTCTGGATGTGTTTCTTATAATAAAATAAATAAATAGACAGACGGTTTTCGTGTGTGGCGATTAACAATGGTATATAGTTCTCGTGTCACAGCGGATCGATGTCCGGCGCCGATCGTGTCACCGGTGGATGGAAAATTCTTAGTGGAAATTCGATCGGTCAATATTATATATTTTAGTTACGCGACCGATTTTCTTCCTTGTGTCCCGACGCACGAATAACGTTCTTGATAAATAACATTATATTATTAGCAAAAACGCCCAGTTGTCGTGCAGATTTTAATTAATATGAATTCCGTGTATAAATACGCGTTCATATATTATCGGGAACATCGTGTTACAATAATATAAAAAATTTAAGTTTGAGACTTTTACGGTGCGTTTTAAATTTAAATAAACCCCATCCTGAGACTATTCAAGTTGTTATAATATTTATGTGATTTATAAATTATCAATTCCAATAATATTCACCCGATATGGACTTAGGCAGATTCCTAACACATACATTATCACAAATACTTACTAAAGGTCGATGTGTAAATCGTTTACTTTTCCAGTATGGATTTGCTTACACTGCTACTTCGTGCTTTGGTACATTTACCAAGTATGCTATTAGGTAATATAATATATATCTACTACTTATTCTAGTATAATCCGCCCAGGATCAAATAAATTATAACTTGTTATAAGCAGGTTCTCATAAATACATTAAACTCCATTCAACAGTTACGTTAGATCTAATATTCCACTAATTATTATTATCAAGAAAATTACTGTTACCTTCTGCCTAAGTTTCATCTTATTTTGGATTCTAAACATTATATATAGAGAATAAATGATAAATCTATAATCATAATATTATGATATATTATTATAATACTATATAATATTATATAGATCAGGGCTAGTACGATTTAAAGTCTATGTATTAAAAATTACGATATCGTAACCATATGGTTATACCTACAGAACGTAGATAGTAGATGTAATCACTTATTATAAATAATGTAAACGAGATTTATCTAGTTTATCGCAGTCACAAATACATCACACATGCAATACCATTTTTTATTTCCTGTACAAGTATGCATAATAATTAATACTCGTAATATAATATTATAACGATTCATTTTAGTACTTTCATTTGTTGAGATTATTTTTTTGAAAAGTCTATGGTCCACGTTTTGCAGACTCCAAACCAACCCCCCCCCAAAAAAAAAGTAGGTACCCCACACTTACAAACATTAACGGGAAACGTGCACGTTTTTAATTATAAATTTATGTGCGCATTCCGGCGGAAGGAGTATAATGGTCACACACACGTGGTGCGTCTGAAATTCGCAAAGTCGTCCGGTATTAGGCCCATTAAGAGCATTCGTTCCCAGCTTCCGAGTGTACGTTCGTTCGCCACTACGACGACCGACGACGACAAAGCCGACGTTGCCGCCGCCGCTACCAAGGCCTACACACGTTCTAAATTTAAATCACCGCACAACAACCGGAGGCGGCGACTATACAACTACAAATATATGGCTACGACGACGGGGCAATGCCAAATGTCAAACCCGACGGAATCGACGACCACCTAACCCTTTTCGGTAAACCTAAGTGGGTCTTTCAGAGGGGGGAGGGGTGGATTTCGTCGAGATCATATTATAAATATATACCTAATGATATTATAGTATTTTCTTGTCGTAAATAAATAAATAAATAAATAAATATATTATTATACTATCATACGCGTAACTGCGTAAGTAGCTATACTATAATATGTATAAAGATGTAGCAATAATAATCCCCTGAGCTCAGTGACGGACGATAGTTTTATGGAGGGGATGGGTCATGGGTGGTAGTAAATGGATGGATCCAACCCTTCTTGGCCTGTTTAAATACTTAAATATGTAGTAACTCTAATAAGTAATCATGACCCTCAAAACATACAACATTAATAAATAATAATAAATATAAACCATTATATTAAAGTGTATGAACTATAAAACATTAAACGAATTGTCATGTACCTATCAATGGATGAAAAAAAATTGAAATGAGTATGTATATCAGTATAATATGTAAAATATTTTCACCCATAACTCTTGGGACGTGTTGAGAACTGCTCCTGGATGGCTAGTCTGCATCGATATCAACAATTATTATTAATAAATCACCACACTAAACATAACGTGTCGTAACTATTAACTTGTATTATAGTTGTATTGTACATTAAATGTTTACATTTTTTGAGTGGGATTTTCAATGATGAAACGGGCAAAATCGCGTTTACGATAGAAATTCACTCCTGACGATTAAGCGATAAATAAAAACTATACAGATACGTTTTTTGCAGAAAATCGATGGGTCTTAGTATAGGTAAGACGTATAGTCTTAATAATATTACTATATTAGTAAGTAAATTATATACTATCGCCGTTGCCACAAAAAAACTTCCAATGTGCCAAATTTGCGATTTTGAGATATTAGTATCCCTGGATTCAGAAAAAATAGGCTGTAATTTTGATAAAAACTCCAATGTGCTATCTCCATCGTTGAGTTAATGAAATATATATAAATATGCGAAATACCTCCTATGTGATTAAAAATTTGGTTAAAATTACATTGGATATATTGGCATGTAGAGTAGATGTAGTGTCGTTGGAGATTTTTCTATGTTCATAAAAGACATTAAAGTTATTTTGTTTTATTATGCTTAGTATTTTATACAATAATAATTTTTTAATAAATATTTATTTCTTAGATAACACAACTTAGTTTTTTTTTTATATAAAATCATTCAAAATACATATTTCTCTGGCACCAACTATTATTCAAAGAACCTCCTATGTACTGTTTGGAAAAAAAATTGATGAACATAACCTATAACATAGTAACATAACCTCTTATGTGATGAAATATTGACAATAAATACATAATATATATTAAGTTTTTTTGTTCAATTTTTTTCAGAATAAAAAAATATATTTTTTTACGTTTTTTAAATGAATTTTGATTAAGCATTGATGTTTTGTGATTTTTTAAAACGTTTTTCGTCCCTCCTGAAAAATTAGGTTTTAGCACATTGGAGGTTTTTCGGTGGTAACGACGCTATATTATTATTATTTTTTTTTTTTATTAATTAAAGTTTTACTGACGTAAGTAATCCTAACTTATTGTTATTGAGTTACATTTTTTTTTTAGCATTAGGAAAATTTATAGCAATTAGTAATATAATAAATAAATTACTAATTAGTAATAAATAGATACTACTATTGGCTACGTTTTAAATTATTTATAGATAGAAGAAAATTAAATAAATAAATAGATATAGTGATAATAACAGGTCGTGTGGGCGTTCTATATTATTATATGCAGTATTGACCAAAATAGTTATTAATTTATGAGATGTAGGTACACCTATTTATATAGTATTTTTATTATTACTGTTTTTTATTCTTAATTATGTAATCCAAACTGTATTCATCATTACCATTTTTGTATTTATATGGCATAGGACATAAATTATTAGTAAGTAAATATTATTATAATTCGTGAAGTTCGTACCTTATACTCACACAATATACCTTACTATAAGTTAGTTTATCAATTATCTGCAGTCGATAAAGAAGCCATTTTTATTTAATATACGTACTATATCGTATGTGTAAGTTAACAACAATTATGAGTTGATGTTAATTATGTAAATGAATTAATTTATAAATTACACGGAGTGGATCTAAAAATGAAAAAAGGGGTAACAGTTAGACAAAAAATTTGCACCTGTATAGACTAAATAAGTCATATCCATATACAATATATAAATTAAATAATAAATACACATATAGTTTAAAAAATTATAATAAAATATAAATCATAAATTATAATATGTCTAGCCATATACAATATGGCTATAACATGATGTAGGTACATCATATTGTAATATAAACTTATTATAAAATATTGTAGGTATGGTACACAGTTAAAGACTTAAGTTCGCCCCTTACTATGAATTAATTAATAAACAAGAGAGGTTTATCTTAAAATATACCTAAGGGGTTGATTAATCAATATATTTTAATGTAATAGTTAAAAAAATATATTAAAAATAAGTACTTATTGTTTTTAATAATAATATATTATACTTAAATATATAACGGTATTGAATTCTAGTTTTATACATTTCAAAATTTGTATTATTACTGCAATATCACTGCTTTGATAATATTAGCTGTACAAATCTAAATATGCTATACTGATACATATTTTTGGTGGCAAATAAAAAATTATGTTTAATAGGGCATTCTTGCATTAGGTACCTATATAGAGTTAATTATAAACTACCCATGCACAGTTATATTTCAAAATTAATAAATATCTAGGTGTTTGAATTACCAGAACATAATTCATCTTATATTCACTGATAGAGTTTTCGGTTGTGCCAGTGGCAATATTACTGTTATATTTAATATTTTACAATAAACATTTGGTAAACTGTATTCAATTGATTAGCAAACGAATTGTTGAAACCCAAATACTTTTTTATGTAGCCATTATCAATGTAATCATTCTTTACATACATATGGTGAGTTGCAGATAGTTAACAGTTTAGACAGTTTAGTTGAAACATATTATATACATACAAGAAATTCAAAATGTTACACCGCTAAGTTGTCTACCGTTTAGTATAGGTTATAGGTACCTATGGTATAAACTTTAAACGTATTAAACGATTAGTATTCTGTAGATTTCCAATAGAGTGGAGAGTATACCTTAATCAAAACATTATACCTATATAGGTACGATACGCCCCGCAATAATGTGCAGTAGCCCAATAACATAAATAATATTAATTACGAAATGTACTCGTTGTAGACGCGATAGGCCTAGATGATATTATGTTAAATTACGCGTGTGGATTCTATATTTACTCGCCGTAGACGGAGTATTTTTTATACATAAGTACGTATTTATATACTTAAATCAGACGAGATTACACACTCAGTCACTCAGACACACACACACACACACACACACACACACACACACACACAAATTACAGTCAAGGTCTAGACGCATTCCTATATGGATCGGTAAGTCGGAACACGCACAAACGCCTATTATATAATTATGTTTATAATTTATATATAATATTATAGAACGCGTCTGAGTTGTACGAGCCGATATATTATTCTACATAATTACATATTATTTTATTGTTCGTTGCCGATGGAAAACACCTATAAACCTTGCTCTATAGTATATATGACCGTCGAGCGACGTCAGCGATTGTAGTAGCAGCGAATTCTGAAAAAAAACCTACAACCCCTTGCAATTCGGTTGTGACCAAAAAAAAAAAGGTATGAACTCTAGGTAGTCTCACTTCTGCTGCAGATAGACGACTAACGGAATATTGTAAGTATTAATTTTTATTTTGAATATAAAAATTTATATACACTATATTATTCGTTATCGATATTAATTTAAAACTATAAAATATGATAATAACATAATAATATAATATAGTTACTGTTCTCAAACAAGTTAACAACAAAACCAGTATAGACAATGTTTAAATTAAATTAAAATAATACACTAAGGAGACAGTCACCCCTCCGTTTAATATAATGTCCTCTACAAAATAGATCTATGAATTGTCTACTCAACAAAACTTTCATTAGTATATTGCGACTGCCACCTGTAGTATTTAATGCTCTTATACCACTTACAGGTTTCTTAAAATACGCGTTGAGCGGGTTCAAACTTGTTCACCCATTTTTCCTTTAGCATAGGGTAGTTATTTATCTATGTTAATGTAACATGGAAATTATAAATTAATCCCGATACAATCAGTATTAATTGAATATACCTTGTTGTACTCCAGTACCTACTATAGTTTGGGTCTTGTGACTTATAGACTGTAGTATAATATAAATAATGAAACAAAAAAATATATTATTGTATAATACTATTATGTCCTAATATTATTTAGTCCAAACCTTTCAAGGCAGACGACGTCTGTACACGTAATATTTTACATCATAATATAATTTTACATATTACAAAAGTTTACCGTAAAATTTTTTTATTATGTCCGATCCCTTTTCGGCGATCATTATGGTCGCGGCGTTCGTGTTTACCGAAACGACTTTGGGCATTATCGAGCTGTCAATCACCCGGAGACCGTTCACGCCCTTCACGTTTAGCGTGGTGTCAACTACCGACCGGTGATCGCAGGCAGGGCCCATCCGACAAGTGCCAACCGGGTGATAGAGCGATGTGCCGACGTTGCGGATTGCGCACACCCAATAGTCTCTGGTTCCCCAGGCGTGAGCCACGCAGTCTGGAAACTCGACCGGTTCTAAAACTAGTCCCGCGTCCACCATCGGTTTGGTTTTTGACAGTTCCACAACGAAGTCAATTCCACGCAGCAGCGTCTCGATCTCGTCGTCGTGTGACAAGTAATTGGTGTAGATTTTCGGGCGCGCCATCGGGTCACCCGACCGGAGGACCACACGCCCGGTGCTCCGGCCATCGACGTTGATCGGTATCGCTAGCACAGAGTCACTTAGAATGTTCAGATCATCGTACAGCCTTGCAACTTGATCTGAGTACCCGAACATATTCGACATCCTGCTCCGCTTATTCGGTGTGTTTCTCGTGCTGTTGTACGCGAATCTGAGGTATACGACCTGTATGTCAGCGCGTCCCTTTGCCGCGGTGTCGACGAAGCTCACGAGGTTTGTCAGGCCCATCGTTCCTATACCTGCAGACACCAAGTCCAACGTGGCCCGGACCAGGTCGGTGCTCTCTCGAGATATGTCGGCCCGTGATCGGTTCTTCCGATCACTGAACACGAGTCCAGCGAACGAAACGTGGTCCTGATAGTTGTAGCCTACCGGCAAGTCACTGATTACGCGGATTCCATGTTGGCGCAAGTGTTCCGCTGGCCCCACACCCGACACCATGAGGATCTGAGGGCTCATAATCACGCCCGCGGAAAGAATCACTTCCCGGGAGGCGTACACTCGCTTCGCTCGCCCCGACGGTGTGACGTACTCCACGCCCACCGCCCTGGTGCAGTTTCTACCACCGGGTGCCGAGATTCGCTGCATCATCACCTGGGTCACCCTTACATTTTTCGCCACGAACAGATTTTGCCGTCCACTGGCCGGTAACAGGAACGCCTTGAGCGTGCTGCACCGGAGACCGTCGCGCACAGTGAAGTCCATCGGGCCGTACCCAACCGCCGGGGGTGCGAACCGGTTTATGTCGTCCAACTCTGCCAACCGGAGCAGCCGGTTGCCGTCGGCGACTGCCGAGTACGCCGGGTCGATGGAAACCAGTGGACTGACTGTGAGCGGGCCGTTGCGGCCGTGTGGCACCGCATCCCACCGACCACCACTACCCGTGAAATTCTCCGACTTGATGAAGTACGGCAGCACATCACCGAACCCCCAGCCCGTGTTGCCCAGCCGCTCCCATTCGTCAAAGTCACGCTTGGTGCCCCGCAAGTACATCATGGCGTTCATGGACGATGATCCACCTAGCATCAGGCCCCTGGACACCTGGCACCGACCGTGTTCCAAGCCCCCGAACAGGTGTGGTTCGGGTTCAGTGATGAACGTCCAGTCGACGTCGCTCGTCATCAAATCGCTGAACCTAAGAGGCGTTTCCGTGTTGGCCGGTGGGTCACCACCCGCCTCAAGCAGCAGCACATTCCATTCGGGTATCTCGCTGAGGCGGGCCGCGACAGTGGCGCCTGCACTACCGCCGCCCACAACTATGAAGTCGAATGTCACGTTACCGGCGTCCCTGAACAGCGTCGGACCGTAGTCGTTCGGATACATCAACGACGAAACTCCGTTCCAACGCCGCTGCTGCAGCTGACTCTGAAAACAATACCGCTATTATGATAAGTCTCAAATCTATAGTCCAGGAAGAAATCAGAGCAGGAAATCTGAATTTTATAGACACTTTTAGGGGAAGTTATAAAAGTCACCTATGGTTGGAAGACTGCCAGTTCCACACGAGACCGCTTTATGCCAATAAAATATTAAAATCTGCTTTTTTCAAAAATAGATTTTCTGATTAGATGAGAAATATACTTAAGGCTATTGGGTACCAGAAAAACCATAAATTGCCTACCTTCAACTCCTTAACCAAGCGCCTTAATATGTTCTATATTAAAGATAAGAAGTAATTTCTTATAAAAAAAAGGTCTAAATATTTATTTCAATGTGGGGGAAATATGTTATTTACTTCAATAATTACACCTGAAATATCAAAGTATTGGTGACTTATGTTTAACGTCGTCCGCTATTGTACAGACACAGTTTATATAATTTTAATGTCTCTGTAATAGTCTTATTAACTTTACTGCATTAAGATCTTTATATTACTCACTAGTCATAGGTCATGTTCTAAACTATAATTTGACCCCTTTGGTATCCGTACCAAAGAGGTCAAATAAAGATCCTATAGGCTATTCAAAATAGATATTTTAGATTTGTTTCACATAATTGTATGTTATTTATAAAAAACCACATTCATCATATTATACACCACTTTTATAAAATTTACATATTTTAGACTCAGCAGAAATACACATGGAAAATAAAAATTTAATCCAGATTATCAGATTAACTCAATTATTTTTAAACTTGTGAACAATTTGACATAGGCCCCACATCTTACCTACTCACACAATAAACTTGATAAACTTGGAGTAGGTATATGGATAATAGATATGTAATAATAATTATTGCTGAACTATTGATTACTTTATAGGTGCTTGAAATAAAAACAATTTACCGACATTAATACATTATGTGAACGTAAATAAATAAAGTCTTTAAAAAATTTACGCGTGTGGTAAAATGGTATAAATGTATAATATAATAAACTTAGGTATGTCAGTTTTAACTTACAAACATATAATAGTTGTACATACAATACTACAATAATACAACTAATGCAATACAAGCCAATGTTTTTAACAGTGAAAAATTGTTTTACTTTTTTTGTTAATAATTATAATATAAAATAAAATGTTTAACACCCATAGGCGAAAATGCAATGTAATAGAGTAAAATATATAATACATTAGTGCATAATATTATTAAAGCTAAATATCTGAGTCAACAATTTATAATTTTAGATTCTGAGAGAAGCGATTTTACAATGATGCATGTTTTAGATTCTATAAGTGGAGTGATGAATGTATTAATTTTACAATGTGTTTTTTTTACTATTCGTACGATCAGTATTCGAAATAATGCTTCGATTTTAAACTTCAGTATCTTGTTTGATGGGACTGAATCTAGTTGGTGCCTTGGGAAGGTCAACATTTTTCAGCAGTTTTCAAAAGCACCGGGAAAAACAAAAAAAAATTAGGACAAACGGGAATTTTTAAGCTAAATCGTTTTTCGAGAAAATCGATTTTGGTTTTTAGTGTAATAATAAAACAAATGACCGTAGACACATGCAATTTTCACTGAATGTATATAGTAGTATTTGTTATACAGTATGCTCCATAAAATTTTCAAAATTTTTTTACTTGTTTTGAGCTGTTTACGGACATTTGAAGTTTCGAAATTTTTTAGATTTTTTTTTATTGATGTCAATAAAATTTTATTCGTTTGGTCAAAAAGCTTGATAATTTAATACAAGACTCCTAATATATTGTCAAAATGGAAGTTAAAATATTAAAAATATAGGTAGTCATAATTTTTTATTTAAATTAAAAAAATGGTTTGTTGTTATAAATTTATAAAATGTTTAACTTTTATAGTTATAAGGGTGAAAGTTTAAAACAAGGTTCCACGTAAATAGGTAAATTACTTTATCCACAGTAATATCATCAAATATACTTAGTAATATCATAGACCAACATAGTCTTCGCTAAGATTCGTTATCGTATATAAGTACAATGATATTATATCATTGAATTCAAATTCAACACCATCCATTATAGTGACCCACTTGCAACCTACTGTACAAGAGAACGACATCCACTTTTTTTTTTGTCTGTGGAACTTTTTTATAGAAGGAAAAATAATTTGATTTTCAACTTTGATGGTGATTCTGGTAGCAAATTGGATTTAGTTTATATATTTTTTTTTTTTTTGGGGGGGGGGGTTGTCAAAGTAATATGTTGTCAATACTTTTCAAAATATCGGGAATTACAAAAAAAAACACGAATATCGGTAATTGTTTGGTAATAATTGGTTAGGTATAAAATATATCAGTATCGAAAAGTATTTTACCTAAAAAAAAAATAATAGTGAAACTGCTATAGTTTCATATAATAAATAAGCATAATAACAGTAATTTATTATTTATTTAATATTTGTACTCACCAAACACAGCATAGTGATAACTGTCCAATAAACGAACATTGTTCCGCGATGTCTTTCAGCTTACATATGTGATGTTTTCGTGTATAATGAACAAATATATAGTCGACTGAATACTATTGAACAGAGAACACGTAAGTAATAACGACTAATACCTACTTATTTTATATAATACGACTGCAGGACGGTGTAATTCAGTGTAAGTATAAATTAGAGCTAAACACAGGTGACGATCGTCCGGTCAACCGAAATAATAAATAACATTAAAACGTGCGGCAGGTACAGAAGTATGTATTATACTGTATACAAAATATTATAAGAAAGGTACACCACCGCAGAAGTTTACAATTTTCGATGCATCATTTCGTTTGGTGAATTGCGAGTGATACGAGTATTATAGATTATGATATAATATAATATTATGTTAGAATGAATTATTATTACGTCAGAAAAATAATATATTATTTCCTGGATAGGTACTGCAAATTTGACGTTATTATTAATATACTTATTGACTATTGTTATACTGATATCTTATAATTTGGTATACTTTTTGTGATCCAATATAATATTAAGATATATCACCCACGCTTGATTCTATACCTACCGGCTAACATGATATCATGCACATCAGCTCATCCAGTATACTATACCTATATGTAGATACCTCAAATATTTATATTGTGGTGGACGATTCGTCTTCATTACTCGCCATGTATAGTAGCGCAATTTTATACAAATATTTAAGAAGTTTAATATATACCTACTATCGTTCATTAGAGCATTTTATCATTTTGATAAACATTTATGGAAGATGAAAATTAAAAAATTAATATATGTTTTAGTACATCATTTAAACAATTTTACTGTGGTATCAGCCATTACCTAATACTATTGATTAAATATTACTAAATATATAATATATGTATACAACGTACCACTTTGTTTAACAGTGAATTAGGTTTGTTAAAAAAAAAGTATTTCACCAATTAATATTGCATGGATCGATTATTATTTATATACTTCTGTTAATATCGCTATAACATTTTTTTTTTTTTTTTGAAAAATACAACAATAATAATTATCATCATTTAATTTAATTTAATACTCAATAATGTCGTAGTATACCTTGGTTGGGAGGCCTCTACATTCCGTCTAATCTGCCTTTTTATTATATTTTTATTATTTTAACCTATAAACCATCAATTGTTCTTATTGTTGTTCTTTTTTTTGTAACAGTTTGAATAAAAAGTCTAGAGCTCTCGAATTTGAACATGAATTAAGATTCACGTAATCACGTGTTTTTTGTTCACATGTACTTAAATTTAAAAATCCGTGTATTTAATTGACATGTAGACAATCTCGGATTCCCGGTAAATATGTACTAACGGCATTAAAATATAAATTTTCTTTCTAACGCATAACAATGTCTAAGGTTAAAAGTTGGGTTTGGAATTACGCTAAACGTGTAGGAGATAAAGCTTACTGCGATTTATGCGAAGAAAATTCTAATAATGAATTTTCGTGTGTTGGTGGAACAACTGGATTAGTACTTCGTTATTTAAAAAACATTCATAATATATCAAACCAACAAGAAAGTAAGAAAACACAAAGGTGCGTAGTGTATAATATGTCAGAATTAACACATATAGTAATAATAATAACAGCGAGCAATATTACCTATAATATTATGATAATTTTAATATTTAACAATTTTTTTAGTAGTTTAATTCCTACATTAGTTTTAGTATGCTGTAGTTACATCATTAAAATTTTTAGTATACATCTAGTTTAGTACCCACTCAATCTTTCACATTTTTTTTTTGAAACGTATGTACTTTTTTGCGCTGAAAATAATGGTGCAATCAGAATTATTTATTTCATTTACAATATTATGATTTATGATAATTTTATTTTAAAATAGTGAAGAAAGCAATGAAAATATTAATGAACAATCAAATGCCCACAATTTAGAATTATGTGATACTCAGATTAGCACTTTTACTTCTACTTCATCTTCTACAGTTCCATCTCGAAAACGACGTCGTCGTAATAATGTAACAAGTGAAAGAAATGATACACCACCATGCAGTCCTGAAAGAACTGAAATTATTCATCAAGCAGTGGCTAAAATGGTGGCTTTAAATCAATTGCCTATATCGTTCTGTTCTAGTGCTGGATTTCATTATTTCATGTCCATCGTAGAACCAAATTACAAGGCAATTGAGGAAGAGGCATTAAAAAAGAGGCTTTATGCACTAAAAACTGATATAAAAAAAAAGTAAAAGAAAAATCTGCTCAAAATGTATCGTGTACTTCTCATTGTTGGTCATCGTTGTCACAACAGTCATATATAACTATAGGTGCACATATTATTGATACACAGTGGTGCCCAATATCATTTACACTCACTACTCATGAGTTACACTAACGACACAGAGCAGAAAATCTTACCTAGCAACTGGAGAACACTTTTAACGAATGGGAAATAGATAAAAAAGTAGTAGCAGTAGTAACAGATAATGCTAAAAATATTGTAAATGCCGTCACATCATTAAGTTATATTCCTGAAGTTTGTAGTGGTACATGTGCAGCTTATTCATTGCAACTTTGTATCAATAATTCATTAAAAACAGATACGATAACTGAAATAATTCAAAAATGTTCTAAATTAGTTGGTCATTTCAAACACTCCAATGTAGCAATGAATGAATTACATAAAAAACAAGAACAATTAGGCTATCCCAAAAGTTCATTGCTTCAATATTGTAAAACACGGTGGAATTCAATTTATACAATGTTGGATCGTCTTTTTATAAATAGAAGTGTAATATTGTCTGTATTAACCGATAGAAGTATAATTACATCAGAAATATGTAGAAAATTGGAGATTATAGAAAATCAATGGTGTTTAATAGAAACTTTGATATGTTTACTGAAACCATTTTACGTTCTTACAACAGTTCTTTGTAAAGAAAATCATTCTCCCGTGTCTATGGTAGGACCTTTGCTTTACAAAGTTATAGAAAATCATTTAAAATCACGAGATGACGACAATAAAATTATTAAAGACTTCAGAAAAACGGTTGTAAATGAATTAACAAAGCGGTTTAATCTTCAATTTGAAATTACTAATATAATTTCTGTAAGTCATATTTCAAGTTTTTTAGATCCTATAGGTATAAGGATCTGGAACATGAACCGAATCATGTTAGAGAAGAAACTCGTAATCATGTTAAAAATGTATTGAATGATATTGTTGTTCATCAGTCATCAGTCATCACCAACAGCCGCAACAACATAAATCGATCGGTAATAGCGATCTCAAATTTTTATATTGTCATGATAGTCTTCCTGAGAATTAAATATCTGATCAGTTTCAACTGTTTCAATGCTAACTAGCAGAAATACAGTTAAGATTTGACTTTGATCCATTCGAGTGGTGGAAAGCACTGAAGCATAAATATCCAGTTATAGCGAAGTTGACATTAAAATATCTGACAATACAGGCAACATCAGTCAGTTCGGAAAGATGTTTTTCTACAGCAGGTAATATAGTTACGTCAAAAAGAAGCTGTTTGCTGTCGGAAAATGTTAATATGTTGATTTTTCATTATCAAAATAGAAAACTATTAGAATGAAAATTATTATGTTTATTTTTTACAAATTATTGTTATTCAATTTCACATAACATGTAGTATTTATATAGGTATAATATTCTAATTATAATTTATAACACAAATACATACACATGGATATCTGTTTATCTGTTAGGATTTATTAAACTATAACATATTATATATTATATTATTTATCATAATATCATATTAATTAATAATTATCACTATTTTATTATATTATAAAAGTAAATTATGCATGTGAAAAAATTGGGCTTATTGTCCAAAATTTATAAATAAATAAAATTTAAAACATGTTCTTATTGTTATAAATTTTTATGCTATACATAATTGTTCAATTATTTTTGTATGTATGTAAAATGTTATTAAGTTTCAAATAATAAACATTTGTCAAAAAACCGCATTCTAAAATATTAGTTTTCCGTGGATGTTCCGTTCATAATAAATAATTGTTAACCGATCACTGTCAATTGTCATGTAAAAAGTAGGAAGCCATTGGAAGATATTTAATGTATTGAAAATAAAATTTTAAATGTAATAATAAACGTGTGGTTTTATAACAAAATTCCCGGACTCACGTGAAGTTAAATTCACGGATTCACGTGTATTTAAATTCATAAATTCACCTGAATTTATTTCACGTGATTGCGTACGTGCATTTTAATTATTAAAAACATATGAATAAAAAAAAAAAAATACTCAATATATGTTCCCAAAAGTATACTTTATCAAAACACATAAATAAGGTTTTAGTGTTTACAGTAATTTACATACTTAAAATGATATGTATAATATATATTATAGATACATTAATACGTTATACCTTTATATATTATATATATATTTATTACTATATTAGATACTTTAACAGTTTAACCATTCAACGAGTCATAAAGTCAATAAAATGCGGAAACAGGTCGATTCAGCAACATAATAATTGACGAGAGCATTATTAATATCACGTGAAGCTATATATAGTTATCTTTACTACAGAGTGGAGACTATAATAATTTTATTATAGACAGGTTTTGGCCGCCATGAGATCGACTCCTCTTTTACCCACACTCGGAAAGATATAAAATATAAACAGTTTTGTACATACTTAACATATTTTGACGCTTTGAAAGTTTGAAATACTTATACTTGTATTATACATAGGGTTGCCAACGGGCCGGTATTTCACATCCATAGACTTAAAAAGCCGGTTGCCGGTATAACCTATAAAAAGCCGGTTTCAAAGTAATAATTGTAAAATTATAAAAACCGGTATTTCCATCTGATCGAGAGTAATCAATAAAAGTTCACTGAAAATGATGACCTTTTTTTTCTGTACCTACGCTTAAATCGGTATTTTCCAAATTAAAAGTTGGCAACCCTAATTTTATTATACATGTATTCTATAAG